ACAAGTATTTAAAGGAGACTTCTACTTTGATCATTTATAATCACTTATGATCAAGAAAGGTCAGCAAATTCAATTCACTTCCCAAAAGCAACTGTAAACCTGGACAAAACAGCCAAAATACCCATTTCAAGGCTCTAAAATTGACCAAAGTCTTACCACAATCTGAGAATCTAATTAACTTGAAATCTGCTCAGTTTTGAGTAAGGACAGTGGGAGTCTGTGCTGTTCTTGCTTCAGGCTATGCCATCTCTTCCCCTCTCCCAACTTGGTAGTGCAAACCTTCTGCCAAATGCACAGGGCTTGGGGACCAGCAGCATCATTTGGCTTGGAGCCACGGGCAGTGCCCACACTCAGCGATGTTGCCAGCTAAAGTGACCATCTTAATGGCAAGCAAATGGGGAGGATCAATGACTCTACTAGCCAGATGTTGCATATGAGCATGTGTAGCTAGTATGTTCCTAGCTGCGGCTATATGCATTTGCAGCAGAGCAGAAAGCTCATGCTACCCTACTACTCCAAGCGTTACATGTATATAGAGAAAATAAAACTGGGGCCAGCTTGAAAACAGTCTGAACCTGGTGCTGTCCAGCCCAAACAGATCCATTGGCAGAGGACAGAATTCCCACTGGCTCAAGGTGACTCACTAATCTCTATCCAATAACTGGCTGACCATTAAGTTACAAAGACATAAGGGCATTCCTAGGAACTCAAACTTAAAAGTAAAAACGAGATTATAAAAAGAGACATCAGTGGTTTCACATCACAAGGAAAGCAGATTTCACAGATTATTAAACAAACAAAAATCAATGACAGCAACAGCCTAAAGGGGGCATCAGAATCCAGTCCAAACTCGAAAAAATAATCAGTAGCAACTGTTTTTGAGTTATCCGAGATATTACATTTAACAAAGACTTAGAAAGAGCAATTATAGGGCCTCCTCGTGGCGCAGCGGTTGAGCGCTGGGCTGCGAAGCTGCCCGCAGCCTCTGCAGCGCCGGTTTGATCCCCGGCTGCTCCCCGGCCCCCGGAGGAGGGTCCAATAATCTAGAAAAACACCTCATTTTAAAAATATTAATCACATCTGCAAAGTCACTTTTGCTGTGTAAGATCAGTTCCGAGGTTGAGGACATGGACGTGGACATCTTTGGGGGACTATTATTTTGCCTACAAGGGTGTCGTCAGTGAAATGAACACAGGAGGAAGCTGTGAGGGGCAGGGGAGGCCAACTTTGGAGAGATGAGTCCAAGTTCCCTTGGGACATCTAGGGGAGCCGCCCCCAGGGCTTCCATCTTTCCCCACACAGGAAGCACCTCCCAGAGTCAGTCATTGGAGCTAGAAAGATGGACACTGGATTCTACTGGTTCTAATACCTGCTTTGCACATGAGAACATTTCTGAAATCAGGATGCATCTCTTAATGACATTTTACAACTGTAAGTAGCGGGGTTTCTTTTCTTAAGCACACATAAAATAAGAATGTCACAACTGAAGGCATCTTGGAGTCAGTGAAATCCAGGTCTGGGCTAGCACCAGAATGAGCCAAATCAGGCCTCAAGCATTACCCCCAACCCCAGCCTCCCACTATTTCCTGGTTCCAATTCTGGCTCTTTTCACCCTAAGCACTCATGGGTCCTTCCAACCTGGAAACTGGCCCCTCCCCGCCAGATATAGCCTGAGTCACAGGAGTCCTGCCCAGTGGTCCTCCAGGATACGCTGAAAACATCTGGGAGCCTTTAAAAGCCCCAACCACCAGGCCACAATTTAGAGCAACTCATTCCTCACAGGAATTTCACAGCTCCCACAGGAGTGCAATGCACAGCCCAAGTGCAAAAGTGGAAAAATCAATCTAACTTGGTGTGAGTGAGCAGACAGAAGACAGCCCAGGTGCAAGGTAGGCGTGTTTAGGTCCATCCCATCCAATTATACCCACCTGTCTCTCTCCCAACCACCCCCATTCTGAATTCCTAGAAGAGAACCAGTCCAGTTATCTCAATTCCTTCAAGGCAACAGCCCACACCACACACATTGTGGGAGCCCAGGAAAGGTAAATTGTGGGGTCTCAAAGCAGAAAAGCCCTGGTGCCAATAAATGTCTGGGAGTTTTTGCACCTGGGCCAGTTTCTCTGATTTGCTGTGATCTCCAATGAGATACTGCCCAGGGGGTCTTACAGGGTCCTTCAAGTGCTAACACTGAGTTTGTACTTCATCTAAGAAGCCATTTCTGTCTGAGGGACTTGAGGCATTGAAGACTCAGTAAGTGCCAGGTTTCCTGCTCACCCCATCCTTCTAGGCCTAAAATCTCCACTTCCGGGGCTCTGTCCTACACTGGCTGCGAGGACAGAATCTTGAGGTTCTAAAAATCAAACACCAGAAAGAGCAAAACAGAAATCCCCAAAGATATTGGAGAATGGAGTGTGAGTGAAGCCATTTTGAGATGGTGAATAAAGTCCAGGCAGAAAGGTCACAGACGCCTGGCAGACCACAGCTCTGTCCTTCAATTGGCAAACAATGGCAAGGTGTTTCAAATTCCTGAGTCCAAAGGGGCTATGGAAGGGGTCGCTGGCTTCTGGCCATCAGCACAGCACAGCCCAGGCCTTCATACACAACTAACACCTTTTATTGGGAAAGGGAAAGTGACTGAAAAGTGGCCTCCGATATCCTCACTGCCTGAGGCAGCTGGGGCCTCCCTGCAGAGTCCAGAAAATAGGGGCCACCAAACCGGGCCCCAGCAAGTTCAGGTATAGAGGTCAAAATCAATACGTTTGGAGTTGTAGAACTGTCCACCAGGGGGGTCCAGCTTCCGACAATAAACACCATCCGGAAAGTAGCCTTCATTCACCCAGGTCTGCAAGAAAGAAGGCAGAGCTCAGGGAGCTCGGAAAGGAGTGGTGGCGGGAGAGGAGAGGCAGACTGAAGTAGGAAGGGACTTACCTGCATCTGAGTGCTGGTAAAGGGCCCATACAGCTCAGCATCGCCCGTGTTTTCCCACTTGTATTCCCACATCACATCCACCAGACCATCTCCTGGAGACTCTGCTTCTAAAGTAACAGGCAAAGCCATTAGGGCCTCAAGTGTCCTGCCCCTGACCATAACAGCTCTCCTCTTTCCTTCAACCTTACCTTCTCTCTGGGTAGGAGTTGGGGTCTCCAGCTCCCCCTCTGTCACTTCCTCAGCAAACATGTCCAGAGAGGGTGGAGGTGTGGGGTCAGGAGCTCCCTGGGTCCGGCACCCCAATCCCTTCAGCCGCATGGCTAACCGTTCCCTTGTCTCCTGATATACGCCAAGGTTGCCCCGGGCTACCATCTGGTCAGCCAACCCAGAGAGCCGGTCCAGGCGCTGCGGGGAACTGGGCCGCCCAGACCCCTTGCTGCCCCGTTTACCTCCCCCTCGAGCCCCCAGACGCCTCAGTGCCCCAGCCACTGTCTCTCTTGGCAACAGTATCTCCAGGAGGCCCTCCAGGAGGGCTTGGGCACTCATTGGTGTCTGGCCCCGGCTCTCCTCATCCTCTGAGTCTGACTGTGGGCGCTGATCAGGTGGCCGCTCCCTGATCTTTACCTATAATGCAAACACAGAGGAGTTTATTTTCTATACACTGCCAGCAAGACCCATATCAGCACTTGCTGCCACCAGGCCCCAGCCATGCCACCCCTGGGCCACACCCAGTCAATATTGTCCAGCCAGCTGTCTCGGATCTGAGAATCCCGGTTCAGGAAGTAGTTGCCATCAGCATCAAAGTGGCCTTCCTCCATTTCTTCCTGCAGGTTGAAGGGTGTGATCCGCACACCTCCCTCACTGGGAAGTGTGGCTGCTTCCTGACCTGCATCAAAGACACAGGGGTCCCATGCCAGGCATGTATAAAAAGGCACAGGGCCCCCCCCCCCTTGACCCAAAGCCCACCTGTATTTCCAAGAGAGTCAGTTCTTGGGCATAACTCACCTTCCACATCCTCTGAGGCCAGAATGTCGTATTTGCTGGACCCCTCATCATCATCATCCTCCTCATCGCTGTCCAAAGAGTGTTTGCCTTTGAAGCGGCTCCCAGGACCCCCTACCCCAACCACAGGGTCTATGAGCTGTGAACAGGAGCCAGCAAGGCAAGAGATGCAGGTTACTGCTATTCCCACCAAGTACTCTAGATTCAACCTGAAAATCCTCCAAACCCACTTCTCAGACACCATGGAAAAGCCAGTCCTTTCCACTCTTTGTACTCCTAGTTTTCTTCCTCTTCTGGCTTCTAGCTCCACTTTTCTCCCCTCTGTCCTCCCGAGAATGAAGAGCCCCATTCACCTTCTTCTTGGGGACACTGGCTTCATCCTCCTCATCATCGCCCACGCCTTGGAAGGTCACTTTCCTCTTTGGCATGACTGGACAGAGGGACCTTCCCCAAGCTGAGCTGAGGGAAAGGGGGAAGATTATGGGAACTGGGTAAGGAGTGAATCCCCAGCACAACAAATGTTCCACCTGGGACGTACTATATCCAGTTGAGGAGGTGAGGGAGCACAGAATTAGGGGCCGAAAAGGACGTTGGGAGCCAGGAGGCCCCCAAGACTTTGTATGGCATCCGAAAGAGTTGCTGGCGCGGGAATGGACAGGCGAGTTCACGGAGGATCTCCTGAGAGCACCCCTACCCTCGACGAAAGGGTATGACCATGCCCATTCCCGGTCCCTGCAATCCTGGGCGCGACGGGGCTCGACTGGCTGACACCCACTCCTCCACCCCGGGTTCCCTCAGAGCCTCCGAGGCCCGGGCAAGGTTGGCGCCCTGGCCACCCCGCTCCTCCCTGCACCGAACTCCCAACTCCGCGGGGTAAGCCCCAACTGTCCCGGGATTTGAGTACAAATTAGAGAGGGGGCAGAGCCACTGGGTCCCGACAAGCCTCAGCGGCGCGCGCTCACCTAAAGATCCACTGGAGGCGGGGGAAGAAAAAGAAAGATGCTTTCCCAGGGGCCACATCCGGGGCACCCAGCTGCCATCACCCGGAAGAGAACTGCCGGAAGTGCAGGGAGACCGGAAGTGGCTTCACTCGGCTTAGAGGACTAACTGGGAGAGCGGGCGGAACTACACGATAGGCGGGGAGACACACCCCCTCCTAGTAGTGACGTGAGCAGTGTGGGGCGACAATGGAGAGAAGTGGGGACTTGTGAACGCCTAGACCCGGATCGAACGAGAGATTTGGCCGGAAGTGGTCTCGACTCCCTCATACTGCAGTAGAGGCTATAGGGAGAAAATGGAGCGCTCCCTACATAAGAGCCCCCAAGGCCACCATGAAAGAATTAATTCCGAGCAGGGCCGGTGGTTCTCCGCTAGTTTCCCCTCTCTGCATTGAATCATCTTTCCCCCAGGGCCGGCCAAGAGTTCTGAGCCCCCTGCCCAGCTCCCCCGCATCTCATTAGAAACCCTGCCTTCCCACTCCTGCTGTTGGCCCTCTAGATCGAGAGGTGCCGCTTTGCTCCTCTCCGAGGGGAAGTCTGGCTTTCCTGATGAGGCGCCTGGAGGCCCCTGGCGGCTCTGGGGGCATTTACAGAATCCAGCTCGCCTTAGGACCCAGAGGAGGTCATTTACCCCAGGGCGAGTTCCTGGTTTCAGAGATAGGAAGAGCCATCGCTGGAGAGGTGGCAGTGGCACCTGTGCCTAGTACCCAGCCCTGAACCCTGTGCTCTGATCTCAGGTAGGCCTAGAAAAGGGCAACAGTGCCTCTCTCTGGGACCACAGCTGCAGGATCAGACCCCCAACCTTAGGAGAGGGCCCTTGCCCAGGTTCCTGATCCTAGGGGTACAGCTGAGTGTCGGAAGTGGCTAGGGTCAGTACTAGTTCCTGAGGACGTTTCGCAGTCTGAATACCACTAAGCCACTGCTGTGCCCAGGAAGAGCCTACTGGAGCCAAAGGGGGGGGGGTTCTCCACAGTAAGCAGGTGGCCCACCCCTCCTCTCTCCTACCCCTAGGGTTTCCGCCCAGATCTGACTACCATGAAACTGCATCGAAAGTCTGTGCTCAGTTTCTTCCGCGGGTACAGAAGAGAGACTCCAGACCAGGAGGGCATCTTACTAATGAAGGGGACCCGAAACACCAGCTACCATCGCCGCTGGTTCATCCTCCGGGGAAACCTCCTCTTTTACCTGGAGCACCAGGCAGACCGCACACCCCTAGGCCTCATCCTGTTGGAGAACTGCCAGGTGGAACCACACCTTGGGGCCACAGAACCCTATGCCTTTACCATCCTGACCCCTGGGGCTGAGGGCCTAGAAGGTGGGCGGTTATACAAGTTGGCAGCAGAAAACCAGGAGGAGCTGGGAGCCTGGCTGTGGGCACTGGCTGGGGCGAGCTGGGGGCGGCTGGCTATGCTGCTACCCCAACTGGAGGCCCAGTACCGTGAGCTGTGCCAGGCAGCTGGCCAAGAGCCTAGCTCACCTCCAGAGGGCTATGGCTCCCTAGCCACCTTCAATGCCCCCTCCAGCTTTCAGGAGTTGCATGAGCGCTTTGGGAAGGAGATCCGGGTGCTACAAGAGGTACAGAGAAAGCTCCAAACTGCCAGTGACAATGGAGGCAGCAGATCCCAGGAAAAGGTGGAAAAGGAGCTAAAACATTGTTTGTTGAGTGACTGATGGACCAAAGACCAAGAGGTACCAACCTGCCAAGACCAGCCAACTACTTCAATAGAGACCCCAGATCCTGTCTCCTCCTGGCCTTTTTTTCCCCTTCCCTATTCCTTATTCTACCCCCCACTCCCTTCATCAAATAACAAGGCAGGAGACAGGCCCAGGTACAACAGCAGGTTCTTTTCTGGTTTCCTTCAAGCGACCACATGGGGTGGAGGTGGAGACAGAAGAGAATGTAAACATTGGGTTCCACCCCCTGGAGCACAAAGGGAAGACCCCTTGACCAGAGAGGGGCTGGAGGGTTCGAAGGGAATAAGGTGAAAAGTGGGGGCGCTGGTGAGACAAAACAGAGAGGCCTGAGAGTAGAGAGGAAGGTGGGTAAAGAGGAAAGCAAGGACAGTGGGTAGGAAAGTGGGGGACATTTCCTATTCCGGGCATGTCCCCTTAAATAAAGTGTAAGAATACTATAGGAGAATCAAAGAACAGAAGATTGAGCCAGCACCCCCACTCTGGGACAGCCAGGTCCTCTGTACATAATTATCACAGAGATGTCTAGTAGGGCGAGAGCCTGGCCCCCCAGTCAGGAAAAGGGGGAAGACAGGCAGGACCGAAGAGAAAAAGGAACCCAGCTCCACTTCATGGGGAAGGATAGCGACTGGAGTGTAAGGATCTGAAAACTGCTGATTCCCATGGCCAACAGTCAACCCTGTGGTGACAAAAGGCCAATCAGGACAGCACCTGGGAAGGAACCCCAGAGGGAATAGGGACAGGAGTGATAGAGACCCCGTGATGAACCTCACTGGAGGGGCTCCAGACTTGTTCCCAGCTGCCCCAGGAAAACGCAGCTGGCCCATGCACTGACTCCTGGCTGTGCAGGGATCCGCAGCTGGCGAGGAGATGGGGAATCAAGCCACTTTCCTCAGAAAGAGGGAGAGCCTGCCAAGGGGGCTGGGGCAGCACCCCAAGCTAGACTTGCTCTTAGCTGAGGGAAATAGAGGGGGGGTGATGCAGTCCAGGCCCAGGGCAGAGGTCAGAAGTAAGCATCCTGCCGGGTCTCAGGTGCTGAGGGCCTGTCCTCACCATCCTGGGGGGCTGGGGGCCCATCAGCCTTTCGACGCAGGGAAAGCTTCCTGCCTTGGGCCTTCTTCTCCTGCTTTTGCCTTTCCTTCTCCTGCTTCTGCTGTTCCTTCTCCTGCTCTTTTTCCCACTTCTGCCGCTCCTTCTCCTGTTTCTCCCGTTCTTTCTCCTGTTTCTGTCTCTCCTTCTCACGTTCCTTCTCCTGTTTCTGCCGCTCCTTCTCCTGCTTCCGGGTCTCCTTGCTGGAACCCAGTGGGGTGCTGTTGCCAGTAGGCGAAGGAAGAGATGGACGCAGTCCCTCAGCAGTGACCACAGGCCCTGGAGCAGGCCCAGCACTAGCCCTGCGGGCAGGAGGGGGTGGAGAGGGAGCCCCTCCAGCTCCCCGGGACCCTCGGCTCTTGAGGCCAGGGAGGCTCAGAAGGCTGGAAGAGGGGCCCAGGGGTGGCTGCTGCCTCCGACGCTCCTCATGGATGGCCCGGGAACCATGCAGTCGCCGTGAAGGCCGATACTGCAGCTCCCCCCGAGTTTCCCGCCACTTCTTGAGCTGGGTGGCATTCTCTCGTTCGATCAGGGCTTCTGTCACTGGGAGGTTGGTCACCTGGACAAAGAAGAAATGGGTGCCAGAATAAAGATGAGATGGGGTTGGGGTGAAGTAGGTGTGGGTGTGCGATGGCCAGGGCCTACCTCATGCACCAGGAACTCCTCCTGCATGCACTGTTGGGGCAGGTTACGCAGCTGCTCCATGGTTTCATACATGCCTTGACAGGCGCGCAGCTTCTCCACTGAACCCAGTGTGTGCCGTAGCAGCACCAGGGCCACCCGGAAAATGATCTTGACACCTGCAGGAGCAGAGTGAAGAGGGCACGGGGGATCAGGCCTTGGGATCTCAGCCTGTCATATTTAGGAGGGACTCAGCCCCCCTCCCTGTCTACTGAAAATTCAAGAAGGGAAATGAGCAAGCATGGGCTTCAGGTTCCTGGAAGGAAGAGCAGGCTCTGGGCTGGCGGCAGAGTCAAGACCAGACCTCTGTTTCCCCAGCCCCCAGATTGCTGACAATGACGCCTAAGTCCAACAAGTACCTTCTATCAGTAGGCCACCTCTGGCAGCCACCATGGAAGGCCCTCATGGCCTGAATGACTACAGAATTACCTTCACAGAAGAACATGTCCCAGACACGCAGTACTGAAGCCCACGGCAGGGTGCGGGCAAAGATGCACATAAACCACTCTGTCATATAGAGCACAGGATCGATGCGCTGCCTCCGCAGGTGCCGATGTGCCAGTGGGGAGGCCCGGCGCAGCAGCGCAAAAAAGATCTCTCCATCCAGTTGAATGGCCTCCTAGAGGAGGGGTAAGCCAGGAAAATAGGCCTGCTGTGGCCTCTTTGGGGTAGAACTGGCCCTGGTAGTAGATCCCCTGGTAGGGGATCCTCACCTCAGGGGAGAGGCCCAGAAGTGTGGGAAGGAAGGGCACAGGGTAGAGCAGGACAAGGACTCCCTGTAGGCTTGGGGAAAAGTCACAGCCCCACTGCACCCAGCCTCTAGACACTTACCAACCCTGCACTGTAGTAACCAGGGAGGTACTTGTCGCAGATCTGCACCAGGCACCAGAAGGCTTGCTGAGAAGGGCAAGAACAAGCAGGGAGGGATGGGGCCTGAGAACGGAGCAGTGAGCTCCCGCATCACCACTGTAGGCCAAGATCCTCCCAGGCCCTCCCTAGCCAGGACCATCTTGTGCTGACCTCAGCAGGCATGTGCATGAGCAGTACTGCAGCCACAGGAGCCTGGGCCTGGCAGTAACCCTCATCAGGCCGGTAGATAGTATAGGCCTTGAGAATTCGATACAGGTCCTGTTGCCTATGGGTATGGGGAAAGACCATGAGGGTGATCAACATTTGGTTGAGAGTTCCCTATGCCAAACTAAAGCTGCCCTCTACCCCAAGCCAGACCCCTCCTAGATTCAGTTCCTGATTATGTCAAGAGCTTTACTGCCACATACTCCCATCCACCTTCCTAGCCCTGCCTATCAAGCTTAAGCCATGGACTCAGATCATAATCAAAGCATTCTGGGCACTAGCCTTCCATCCCCAGCTGCATGCCCCATAACCCCCTCCCATTCCCCAGCACAGGCTGTGCTCTCTCCCTCCTTCTCTGCCCCTGTCCCATAAACCTTCAAGGCCATCTTCTCCAGAAAGCTTTCACTACCTATAGCATCAACTGTCCAAATGCTTTATCACCCCAGAGCAGGGGCCCTCTGAGGGCAGGATCTGCCTTATCAGTCTCATTGGAATTCATCAGTGTGGCCCGCCCCCCCCCCAAATATGTCCAATGGGCCCTGGTGAAGGCCTAGGAAGCCCACGGAAGGCCACTATGCCTGTGATCTTTCTCTTGTCTGCACCCAAAATAAAAATCTCTGCCTCAGACCTGGCTCTGTTTCCTTGAGGGTACCTTGATGCTAAATGAGAAATTTATCCACTCAGCCCCACATTAGAATAGAACTTTCCCTTCACTCCTCATGGCTAAGCACCAAATATATCCTGACCTTTATTCATGTCTGTTCCCTCTCTCCACTTCCCCATCTACTTTGAATTTCAGACTGTCATCTCTCAACCAGAAAAAAATACAGCTGTACCCCTTCATCTGTGATTTCAGTTACCCAACTGTGGTCCAAAAATAATGTCATGTACAGTAAGATATTTTGAGAATGATACACTATATTCCCATTATTTTTATTACAATATATAGTTATAATTGTTCTAGCTTATTATTATTATTAATCTTATTGTGTATAATTTATAAATTAAATTTTACTACAGCTATGTATGAATAGAAAAAAATACAGTATATATAGGGTTCAGTGTTACTCACAGTTCCAGACATCCACTGCGGGTCTTAGAAAGGGTCCCCCACAGATAAGGAAGAAGTATTGTAATGCCTTCCCAGATCCTCACCCTGCCTCCAGTCATATACACTCCTAAGCAGCCCTGACAATAGTGTTTCCCAAAATTCAGTCCCTAAAGTGTGGTCCTCATTTGTGCTTTACCTACATACCAATCCGGACATATTAGTTATTTTACCTAACACGTATTAGTGTAAACATAATTTCCACAAGCTCCCATGCCAGCATTCATCCACCTGCCTGCTTCTGTGTCCCTGCCTTCTCTCTTCCTGTGGGTGAACTGTCTGATCCTGGCCAAACAGTCCTTCCCCTTGGGCCCTGGATCCCATCCCCTCTCATGGACACAGCTCATCACTCCAGCAGCTTTCCCATGTCTCCTGCATCACCAGATTTTCTCTCTCTACTAGATCAGTCCCATCAGCATTCCAACACGTTATTTTGTTCTAGTTTAAAAAAGTCTCTCAGGGCCTCCCCTGGTGGCGCAGCGGTTGAGCACTGGGCTGCGAAGCTGCCCGCAGCCTCTGCAGCGCTGGTTCAATCCCTGGCCACTGGCGAGGGTCCCACATGGCACGCAGACCCCTCCTGCCGTGTCCTCTGCTCCCCTCAGCAGTGTACTTCAGTCCTTCTGCCTGTTCTGCTTCCCGCTCTGGCTCTGGTGAATTCTCTCACCCTCCCGCGCTTCTGACTGTACCCAGTGCTATGTAAATAAATAAATAAATATTCAGAATAAATAAATAAATAAGTCTCTCAACCCCATTCTCCCCCCCCCTCAATTTCTCTTCTTACCTATTCAGCAAAACTCCTCCAGAGTATAGACTCACTGTCTTCAATTTCTTTCCTCTCATTCTCCAGTTAGGCTTTAACCCACTGCTCCACACAAAACTGCTTTTATCAAGGCTACCAATTATCTCCACACTGCTAAGTCCAGAAATGAATTTGCAGGCTTGACTTTACAAGACCCATCAACAGCATTCCATACAGCTGCTCCTTAAAACCCTCTTTACTTTGCTTCCAGGGATCACACTCTTCGGTTTTCCTTCTTTCTCAACAGCTTCTCCTTTCAGTCTCTGCTACTGGTTGTTTCTCATCTTCCAGTGTTGAAACGTTGAAGCTGCAGGGCTCAATTTTGAACAACTTCCTTTCATACCTACACTTGCTGCCTTTACGATCTTACCCAGTCTCATGGGTGAGATCTAGTCCCATCTAGAGGTTAACAACTGTTTCCAATTTCTCTCCAGTTTAAACCTCTCTCCAAAATCCAGACTAAGTATATAGTTTTACCCAACTTACTTGACATCTCCAGCTAGACGTCTAATAAATATTTCACTCACATTCCAAAACTGAGCTTCAGCGATACCCCGAAGGCTATTTCTCCCCCATCCATATCGGTACACAGCAACTCCATTCTTCCAGTTTCTCTTTTCTGTCACATTTCACATCTAATCCTCTTGCAGATCCTTCTGGATTTAACTTCCAAGTAGATATCCAGAGTACAGCCACTTCTCCCCATAGTTCCTCTGCTATCACCCTGATCTATCTAGTGTCACCTTTCTCCTGGATTATGAAAGTAGACTCCTAACTGGTCTCTCTGCTTCTGCCTTGTCTCCTGATGGTCTATTCCCAGCACAGCAGTCAGAATGATCCTCTTAAAACACAAGTCAGATCACTTGTAACTCCATATCCACTCACAAACTCTATTCCCTTTCTTGTTTTAAGCTTTAATACATAGCACTGCTGCATATAAAATATACTTTCCTTCTTTATTTCATTATTGTCTATCCCCACTAGAATATAATAAGCCCTGTGAGGGCAAGAGTTTGTCGTTTGTTTACTGCTGTCATTTATAACTAGAACATGCCTGGCAGAGAGCAGATGCTCAATAAATATTTGCTGAAAGGATGAACTTATCAATAAAAAATGTTCACCCAAGAATCACCCAAGATCATCTTACATTCTACAAGGGAGCAGTATAT